TGTGTGTGTGTGTGTGTGTGTGTGTATGTGAAGGCAGCAGCAGCTGTTGTCATGGCGTATGTGGCGCCCGCTCCATTAAGGCCCAGTAGGGTGGCGTTGTGCCAGTCGGACCCCCTTTCGTTCTCCACCTCGTTCTCTTCCTCATCCTCCTGCTTAACTCTGCTTGGCTGCCTGCACTGCCCGCCTGCTCCTTCGCAACTGGGTGCCCTCACATCCCCTGCTTGTTGCTCTTATTGCTCTCCTTGCCGTTGTCGCCCCCGTCGCCACACTGCGACACAAACAACCACACAAAAGCAGCTGCAGAAGGAAGAAAAGAAAGAAGCGCCAGTGTACACACACACACGCAGACACAGACCCCAACGCAGACAGACGGACAGCATGTCGAAGATGCTCTACATTCTCTACGAGGCGCCCACCNACACACACACACGCAGACACAGACCCCAACGCAGACAGACGGACAGCATGTCGAAGATGCTCTACATTCTCTACGAGGCGCCCACCGGCTACGCCCTCTACAAGGTCCTCACGACCGAGGAGGTCGGCGCCGGTGACGTAGCGCTGCAGAAGGACCTGCAGACGTTTGCCACATTCTCGCCGTGGGTGAAGCTCATGTCCTTCGCGCCGTTCCAGTCGCCGGAGAACGCACTCGAAGACGCGGTGTGCATCAGCGAGTCGCTCGTGAGCCCGTTCCTGCACAACTTCCTCACCTCCGTGCTTGCCAAGAAGGCGGCGAAGCGGGACGGCGCGAACTGGGAGCTGGGCGTGTGCGACCCGAAACTCGGCAGCGCGATCCACGACGAGCTCAAGCTGCCGGTGGTGTGCAACGAGAACGTGGCGGAGCTGAGCCGCTGCCTCCGCACGCACGCGGAGAAGCTTCTGCCGGAGCACAAGGACGGTGACGTGGCGCGCGCGCAGTGCGGTCTCGGACATGCCTTCTCGCGCAACAAGGTGAAGTTCAACGTGCACCGCAGCGACAACATGATCATCCAGTCCTCCGCGCTCGCGGAGCACATGGACAAGGGCGTCAATCTGCTGGGGATGCGCGTGAAGGAGTGGTACGGATGGCACTTCCCGGAGCTCGCGCGCGAGGTGCCGGAGCCGCTCAAGTACTCTAAGGTCGTGCTGCTCATCGGCAGCCGCGCCACGCTCGAGGAGCGCGACGCCGAGGAGGTGACGCAGCAGATCGCGGACATCCTCGACGGCGACGAGGCGCTCGCGGCACGGGTGTACGAGAAGGCCGTCACGTCGATGGGCGGCGACATGGCGGAGGTCGACTGGGCGAACATCCGCACATTCACGGAGCGCGTCGTCTCGCTCGGCGCGTACCGCGAGTCGCTGCAGCAGTACCTCATCGACAAGATGATGCTCGTGGCGCCGAACCTCACCGAGCTGATGGGGCAGAGCATCGGCGCGAAGCTCATCTCCAAGGCGGGCTCGCTCACAAACCTCGCCAAGGCGCCCGCTAGCACCATCCAGATCCTCGGCGCAGAGAAGGCGCTCTTCCGCGCGCTCAAGAAGCGCAAGGGCAACACGCCCAAGTACGGCCTCATCTTCCACTCCACCTTCATCCAGCGCGCGGCGAAGGAGCACCGGGGGAAGATCTCGCGCTACCTCGCCAATAAGGCCGCCCTCGCGTGCCGCATCGACTGCTTCATGGACGCGCCGCCGCCGGTCTTTGGTGAGAAGCTGCGCGAGCAGGTGGAGGCGCGGCTTAACTTCTTCGACACGGGCAACAAGCCCCCGTCGAACGCCGCCGCCATGGCAGAGGCACTCGAGCAGTACCAGAAGATCGTCCGCAAGCGCGCCAAGAAGCAGCGTGCTGCGAAGACGAGTGACGAGGAGGATGAGGAGGAGATGCCGCGGAAGAAGCACGCGCGTCGCGAGGTAGTGGCGCAGGAGTCGGACTAAGCGGCAGGCGGCAGCGAGGACCTCCCTCCCTCCCTCGGTGCGTGTGTAATGTTCGTGCCTTCCGCAGGGTCTCCTTCGCCACATTCGCGCTGCTGCTGCTGCGTGTCGCTGGGGCGTCGCCGCTGGTCCCTTCCCGTAGTTTACTCTTTTGTTTCCGCTTCTTCCGCCCCCGATGGGCCGCCGTCAGGGCGGCGGGGGCGGAGGCGGAGGAAGAGCGGGGCGTGTGCGCGTGAGGGCGAGGCAAAGCGGGAGAGAAGAGAAACGAGGCAAAGAGGAGGAAAAACAAAAAACAACAACAACAACCAAACAAAAAAAAAACAGAAACAAAAATAACACAAAGAGAAGAATAGCGTGAGAGAGGCAAAGAAAAGAAAAGCAAACAGAATTCCTGTCGTGCATCTAACCTAACAGTAACACCACAACAGGCACACACACGAATAAGTGAAAGACGGCCAAGTAGTGGGGGGCTGCTGTTGCTGCCTCCTATGCGGCTTTTGTTAATGGCGGCTGCGTCCGACTGCTCCCATTCCTCGTTCATTTCCGTCCTTCTTCTCCGCTGCTGTGAGCTTCATGTCCTTGCTCTCTCTCTCTCTCTCTCTCTCGCTCCTCGTTCTTGTTGTCTTTTGAAGAAGGGTCTGCGGTAGACACGAGCACAAGGGCCGCCGCGACAACAACACGCACACGGAATGTGTACTCCACGGGCAGTGGAGGCGGGCGCACGCTCGGTCTATGCGGGTGCCACGGCGGGCTGGGAACTCACCAGTGCGAGGCCGTGGTGCGTGCTTCCTGTTGTTACTCCGGCGTGGGCGACAACCCGACGCGGCTGCACCTGCCCGCCCCCCGCAGATATATGCGCATTCCCACTTTCGTTCCCTCACTTACTCTCCTCGCCCCTCAGCCTGAATCAGGAGGTGTATTCGCTTGCTCAAGCACACTACCCCCCGTCCCCCGTCTCTCTCTCTTTCTCTCTCCAGCTCTGTGCGTGTACATCAGTCTCTCCTTAACACACACACACACACACAC